GAGGTGTTGTAGGACATGTGAGTTTGGTCCCTTCTCTCCCATGCTTTCTAGGTTATGGACTCTATGAACAGCGCACTTGACACAAAATATCTTGAACCTAATCTGTCCCTGATAACCCTGCTTGTTTTGAGCTGTGGCCTTACGATGAAGCTGCTTTTTCTTTTTTCCCTCTCTCCTACCTTTCTCCATCCAAGCAATGTTTTGCTTTGTTTTGTTTTGTTTGTTTGTGTTTGCTTGCTTGTTTTGGATTTTATTGGGGAGTTGGGGGAGGGGAACAGCCAAGTTGTCCTTCAATCTTAGTTGTGGAGGGCACAGCTAGCTCAGCTCCAAGTCCAGTCGCCATCCGTTCATCCGTCAGCAGCTCACGGCCGCTCAGCTCAAGGCGCTGTGTTCAATCTTGAGGGTAGGCATAGCCACCATCTCATGTGGAAGTCGAACCAGCAGCCTTGTTGTTAAAAGCGCATGCCCTATCCACTGAGCCATCTGGGCGGCAGCTCAGCTCAAGGTGCCAAATTCAGTCTAAGTTGCGGGTGGGCCCACCATCAAACAGGCAATCTTGTTACACCAGCTGAGCCATTCTGCCACCTGTTGGCAGCTCAGCAACAGCTCAGGTGCAGCTCACTGGCCCATGTGGGAATCAAACCAGTTACCGTGTTGCTCAGAGCTTGCACTCTCAAGCAAGCTCTTAACCAACTGAGCCACTCGGCCGGCCCCCCAAGCAATGTTTATTCAGACAGTTCTGGGGGCAGTGTCGGGCCAGTCGTGCCCCATGCTGTTCTGTTGTGTTCCTGAAGCTTCCATGTATGGTTACCTTTATAAGCTCCTCCTGCGCCATCCTACCTCCTGTTACCAGGACACACAGTGAACGGTGAAGCCACTTGCTACATCTCAAACATGCTGCCTCTCTTTAGACTTTAGAGCTTGCAGTGCTGGTGGCACTAATATTATCAGGCCTGGCATTGTTCATTCAGTCAGACGGCATTCATCTGTCCATGTGTCAGTCACGGATGGATGGGAGATATTAGAATCATTTTATGGTCTAACTGCTACTTTATGGGCTCTCTTTTAGGAAGTGACTCTGATCATTTTAGCTGAGATGCTTTTGTTTGGTCATAAGATGACCATCTTTTCATGAGATCAGAAGCTCTTTTTTTTTTTTTTTTCCTTTTTAAGGAAAGACGTGTTCTATGAAAAACAGCAGGTTTAATGGTTAGAGACTTTTTAGCCAGGGTCTGCAAATACCTAAAAAAGAACAGGCAGATAAGAATGTAGTGAAGCAATCAG